CATGAAATGAGTCAGCTGGATGACCAAAGTGTGGAAACCTACAGCCACGAGCAGTCCAGATTACATAAGCGGAAAGCCAGTGATGAGAGCAATGAGCATTCTGATGTGGTTGATAGTCAGGAAGTTTCCAAAGTCAGCCGTGAGTTCCACAGCCATGAATTTCATAGCCAGGAAGATATGCTAGTTGTAGACCCTAAAAGTAAGGAAGAAGATAAACACCTGAAATTTCGCATTTCTCATGAATTAGATAGTGCATCTTCTGAGGTCAATTAAAACAAGAAAGAATACAATTTCTCACTTTTAGTAGAAAGAAAAAATGCGTTATAGCAAAATGAAACGGAATATGAAATGCTTATTTCTCAGTTTAGTGGGTGAATGTGTATCTATGTGAATCTGGAAATAACTAATGTGTTTGATCATTAGTTTAGTTTGTCATAGAAACTCCCTGTAAACTAAAAGCTTCAGGGTTATGTCTACGTTCATTCTATAGAAGAAATACAAACTATCACTGTATTTTAATGTTTGTTATTCTTTTATGAATAGAAATTTATGTAGAAGCAAACAAAATACTTTTACATACTTAAAAAAGAATAACATTTTATGTCATTATGATCTTTTGTTTTTTAAGTTAGTGTATATTTTGTTGTGATTATCTTTCTTTTGTGGTGTGAATAAATCTTCCATCTCAAATGTAATACGAATTTGGTGGTGTCGATTGCTTATTTGTTTTCCCACAGTTGTCCAGCAATTAATAAAACATAACCTTTTTTACTGCTTATGTAACAATTTTAAAGCTTTATTTTGGTTTTAATTGATACATAATAATTGTAGATATTTATGGGGTACTGTGCTGATGTTTTGATACACACATACACTGTATAATTATCAAAGGGTAATTATCATATCCTCAAACACTTGTCATTTCTTTGTGGTGAGAACATTCAATCCTCTGTTCTAGCTATTTTGAAGTATATGATACATTATTATCGACTATAATCAACCTACTGTGCAATAGAATACCAGAATTTATTCCTCCTAGCTAACTGTAAATCTTGTACCCATTGACTAACCTCCCCCATCCACCTTCCTACTGTCCCACCTGCTGGTAATCATGATTCTACTCTCCACTTCTATGAGGTCAACTTTTCCAGATTCCATATACGAGTGAGGTCATTCAGTACTTGTCCTTCGGTGCTTGGCTTATTTAACTTACCCTCCTCTAGGTTCACCTATGTTGTCAAAAATGCCAGGAGAAAACATGCACAAACTATGCATCTAAGAAGGAATTAAAATGCAGAACACTTAAGGAACTCAAACAACTTAATATCAAAAAAAAGAAAAGAAAACCCAAATAATCCAATTAAAAATGGGTGCAAATCTGAATAGACATTTCTCAAAAGAAGACATGCAAATGGCCAACAGGTATATGGAAAAATGTTCAACATCACTCACTAATTATCAGGGATATGCAAATCACAATCATAATGAGTTATCATCCCACCCAAGTTAAATGGCTTTTATCAAAGAGAAAAAAAATAACAGACACAGGCCAGGATTTGGGGAAAGGAGGACATTCCTACACTGCTAAGAAATGTAAATTAGTACAGCCACTATGAAAAACTGTAAGGAGAACTTCTCAGAAAAACAAAAATAGAATTACTGTATTATTTAGCAATCCCATTGCTGAGCATATAACCAAAAGAAAGGAAATCAGTATGTGGAAAAGATATCTGAACTACCATGTTTAGTGCAGCACTATTCACAATAGCCAAGATGTGCAATCAGTGTAAATGTCCCTGATGATGAATAGATAAAGAAAACATGGTATATAAACACAATGGAATACTATTTGGCCATTAAAAGAAATTAAATCCTGCCATTCGGAGCAACATGGATGGAACTGGAGGTCATTATGTTAAGCGAAATAAGACACGCACAAAAAGACAAAGATCGCATGTGCTCACCCATACATGGGAGCTAGAAAAGTGGACCACATAAAGATACACTGTAAATTGTTGGTTCCACCAGAGGGGAGGGTGAGGGCTAGGGGCAGATGAAGAAAGGTTGATTAATGGGTACAAATATACAGTTAGGTAGAAGAAATAAGATCTAGCATTTGACAGTAGAGTAGGGTGACTATAAATAATTTATTGTATTTGTTTAAAGCCCTCAATGATAAGAATTCGAGTTCCCAACATAAAGAAAAGATAAATGCTTGAGGAAATGGGTATCTCAATCATGCTAATTGAATCATTATACACTAAATGCATGGACCAAAACATCACATGTGCCCCCAAAATATAGACAACTATTATATATCAATTTAAAAAACAATCAATAGATTTAAAAGGACACTATACAGATATTAGATAAACACATGAGTGAGTAACTTCACAGTCTGGGTGTGAGGAAACCTCTTCTAACGATGAGAAGACAATGCCATGCCGCAGTCCTTGTAGATATTATTAGTCAGGTGCAGCAGCCCCTTAGGTTCCCAGCGTACTTGCTTCAGTTGGCACTTCTCACACTCACCTGCAGGTGATGGCTGGATTGATGGTGCTGTTCCTGCATGCTTGGCAAGGAACTTGGCACTGTGCCCAAATCCAAGGGCATGACCAAGTTAATCCTGAAATCACTCATTTGAATAGCGGTGCTGTTTAATAACTAGTCCCTGCTCCATTTCTCTATTAGTCAGGGTACATTCAGAAGACAGAAAAGAGACCAGTAATTTGAACAGGAAAAATTTAAAGAATTATTAACTAGAAAGAGGGGGCAAACCAGAGAGGATGAAAGAGAACATTAACAATACCATGGGGCTGAGTGCCCATCTAAGGAACAACTTACAAAAGGAGGGGCCTTCTCCCCAAAGCTGAGATTCAGACTTCACCAGAAAGGGTACAGCCACAGCCCAAGGGATGGCAGAGAATCTGCTGTGTTATCCTGAATTGGGGCTGGTCCACATTGGTCCAACTGGTGGCCTCATGTTGGAAAACAAGAGACTTTCCACAGAGGTTCCAGCAGACTGAGGCCAGCAAAGAAGGAAAACCATGGGGCGGGGCAGCAGAGCAGGAAGTTGGCTGGAGGGTGAGTGTCATAAGGTGCTCTGTGTGCACAGCAGTGTCCCTCCAGTGCCCTCTACTGACAAAGCTTGCCACTGTGCCAGCTGGCAAAGAAAGCATGTTTACAGGATTCAACTCCAGCAGCATCACAGAGCAATGCAGAGGCAATGGATTTGCAGCAGGGAGGCACAAATCTGACAGCTGGTACAGGTCATTGGGGAAAAGGCTTATTCCTCCTGGACAACAAGAGTACAAAAATGAGCCTCGGATATTTTATCATGATAGGATGAAAGCAAGCATGCAAGGACAAAATGGGGTTATATCCAAGGGACGAAAGAGCAGAGTTGCAAGGGGCTTCCATTGACCAAAACTGGGGTAATTTTAACAATAACAGAGTAATGACAGTAACACATTATAAAAATTGAATTTTTAAAATTCCATTAGTATACAGCGATACTACAAGAACAAGAGCATTAAAGATGGAAAATTTTTCTTTACAGATGAATGTCAGCTAGTAATAAAGTAGGAAGGATGCTATCATTAAAACATTATTTCATAACCCACAAGGAAATAATTAATTCAGGAAGTGATCACTAAGGAATGTTAAAATTATTGTGCAGAAGATGATTGAGAACGGCTATTCACCTGGTCTTGGGAAATTATCCCACAATTATTTAATAATACCAAAAAAAAAAAAAAGGAAAGTGCTTTTAACCAGACAGATTTGTAGCTACCATCTTTAGCCAGTAATCAAACTTAATTTCACAAATGAGACGAGTCGTTATGTACCACCTAGCGTGATGCAATAAGAAATATGCAACATCATCTAGAAATTTTTGTAAAACATGTTTACAAAATCAAATCACTAGAAAACAGGCTAATGCAGAATTTGAGCTACTCTATAATACAACTGGTCTGAATTTTTTTTTTTTTTTTTTTTATTTTTAGACAGAGTTTCGCTCTTTCACCCAGGCCAGAGTGAAATGGTGCAATCTCCGCTCACTGCAACCTCTGCCCCCTGGGTTCAAGTGATTCTCCTGCCTCAGCCTCCAAAGTAGCTGGGATTACAGGCACCTACCATCACACACGGCTAGCTAATTCTTGTATTTTTAGTAGAGAAGGGGGTTTCCCCATGTTGGCCAGGCTGGTCTTGAGCTCCTGACCTCAGGTGATTGGCCTGACTCAGCCTTCCAAAGTGCTGGGATTACAGGTGTGAGCCACTATGCCCGGCCGCCTGAACTTTTTTAAAAGCAGAGTTGTCAGATAAAATACAGGATGCTGAGTTAAATTTGATTTTCAGAGAAATGACAAATCAGCTTTTAGTATAAGTACAGGACATTTTAGGCTAAAAGATGATTCATTGTTTATTTGACCTTCAGTTTAACTGAGCATCCTTTTCTAAATTTTCTAAATCTGCCAATCCTACAAAAAAAACAATTTCATAAGAGGAAAAGGGCAAGAGAGGAGACAGTATTCTAGATTAAAAATATACCAGGCATAAAAGGTAAAACATGAACCTTGACTGGCTTCTGGAATGAAAGAGACTCACAGCCATAAAAAACCTTTTGCAGACAACTCTAGCAATCTGAATATACATGGTATATTAGATAATATTGTGGAATTACTGATAGTTTTCTTAGATGTGATCATTGCACTGTACATGAAAGTGAATCTTTTTATTCTTGAGAGAAGTATAATGAAATATTTAGGGATGAAATGCCATGGTTTTTGTAATTTACTTTCCAATGGTTCCGAAAATAATGGCTGGGAGAGGAAATGGGAAGATGTAGGATAGAGGTTACAAAGCAGCAGAAAAGGGGAAATGAGCAAGTCTAGAGATCCAATGTACAGCATGAGGACTACCATTAATAAAATTGTACAGTATTTGGAATTTCTGCTATATGAGTAGGTTTTAGCTGCTCTTGCCACACACACACACACACACACACACACACACAGTACCTATATGAGATGATGGGTATGTTAATTTGCTTCACTACAGAAACCATTTTACTGTCTATATGTATCCCATAACATCACATTGTATATGTTAAATATACACAATAAAGTTTCTTTTTAGCTTTTTGGATGCTGGCCCAGGAGTGGGAGCTGCTGTAACCTCTCCTCTTCCAATCCATGTTGCAACCAATAAGGGCTGTTTCTACAGTGTCAAAAAATTTTTCAATAGTAGGTTGTCATGAGGAGAAAAATTATTAAGAAGTCAGAAAAAAAAAGATACAGAAAGTAAAGAAACTATGGGCAAAGCATATTATTCCTTTAACTTTTCTCAAGGTTTAAAAATGTTCCAAAATTGTGAGTAGGAGGATAGAGCAGGCAGAACAGAAAAATGTACAATGAATAACGTCCATGAGGTAGTGTCTCGGACACAGATATAAAAGTCTCAGAATAACTCCTTCATTATTCACCTTACAAGATTATGAAAAAAGGCATTCATAAATTTTTATAAATTAAAAAAAAGTCAAGACCAATATTCCATCACCTATGCATTCTTCAATAATCCTGTAGACACTCCCTTTGATGCAGGTCTTCTTTGGTCAGAGAATTTTTTCATCCCCGGCCCATGGCAATGATACGGCCTAACTTTGAATCAAAGTATTTTTTCTGGTTCCTGGCATAGTCTTTTCTCCTCTGCCACTCCCAATTTTTCAAGTTTCTGGTAACAATGGCTCCAAATACTGTTTGACTGCAATTATAGTGTAATGGCCAAGTTTCCATGGGATTCAGCTTTGTCAGCAGAGTAAGGCAGAGGCAAAGAACTATAATGAGCGATTCTGACATTGACCTGTAGTGAGCATGCAAAAAAGACCTTAAAAACCTTTTGCAGAGACTGAAGAAAAGATGATATTCTACTTTACAATTTCATAAGGTGGTTTTTTATACTTCTTCAATTTAGTAGCTCACTTACTGAAGCATAATTATATTCCCACTCAAAATATACAGAAAGCATGCATTCCCTAAAGTATTATGAGTTGAACTTCGACATTATTTCAATGCAGTCCCTTTGACTTACCTATTTTATTCTAAATATCATTGTGACTCGTGTTTGACTAGAGTGTAGATAGATATTGCATTTTAGATCCAAATCTCTGATAATATCCCCCCAAAGATGCAAAGACTTAAGTCCTAAATGCCTATGTAGCTGAATCTGCTCTTCTAGTCACATTGAAAGAGCATAGATCAGCAATCAGAAAGAGAAAAGAGTGGTTGCCTCTGAGGCTCCACCAAAAGAATGTGGGGCTGACCTAAAGGGAAATCTAAAAGTGGGTGCCAGAAGCATGCTTAGTATTACCAACATCATTTATAATGTATCGAGGTTATTTTTTGAAGTTATTATTGAGTAAAAGAATAAAATTCCTGTAAGGAAATGATACATCCAACTTTTTGAAGGTTGGGAGAAAGAGGGAAGGGAGGTCTTACTCCAGGTACAGCTCAGATACTTGACTTTCCCATACATCATCTTTATCATTCCAGACACGGGTGGTGGAGAGGAAGGAGAGCAGGTGCTGACACCATGCAGAATGCAGCCAGGCTTGACTTCACAGTGCCTCCTGAAACCCCTCGGGTGGTGGTGGTGGGTCCAATAAATTATCTAAGTTCCAATCTCAGGAAACTAGAAAAAAAGCCAAGCAAACCATCATAGGCAGAAGGAGGGAAATAGTAAAGATAAGAAAGAAAACCAATGAAATTGAAAACAGGAAAGCAACAGAGAAAATTAAACAAAAGGTCGGTTTTTCTAAAAACTTAATAGAATTAAAAATCCTCTAGCAAAATGGACACAGATAAAAAGACAGAAGACACAAATCTCCAATACCAGGAATTAAAAAGGGAGATCACAACAGATCCCACAGCCATTAAAGGGCTAATAAGAAAAGACTACTGTTATGAGGTGAATGTATTCCCCCACCCAAAAAGAAATGTTAAAGTCTTAACCCCTAATACCTCAGAATTCGACCTTATTTGGAAACAGGGGCACTGCAGATATCATTAGCTAAGATGAGGTCATCCAGGAGCAGGGCAGGAACATCATACTCCTAATTCAGTATGATGATGTCCTTATAGGAAGAAGCCATGTGAGGACAGAGACACACAGGGAGAATGCCATGTGAAAACAAAGGCAGAGGTTGGAGTTAGGCACCTGGAAGCCAAGAAGTACTGCAGATTGTCAGCAGCCACAGAGCTAGAAAGAGACAAGCAAGGTTTCTCCCCATGGGTGTCAGGGGGAGCATGGCCCTGCTGACCCCTTGCTTTCAGACCCTGGCCTCCAGAACTGTGAGACAATACATTTCTGTTGTTTTAAACCACCCTGTTTGGGGTACTCATCACAGCAGCCCTGGAAATCTAATACACTATGAAAATCTTTAAACTCATAAATTTAAAGATTTAGAAGAAATTGACCAACCCCTTGAAAACCATAATCAAAACTCGGTCAAGAAGAAACTGATAACTTGAATAGCCTTATAACTAGCAAAGAAATTCAATTCATAATTTAAAAGTTACTAAAAACAAAATGTCCACGCCCGGATGGTTTCACTGGAGAATTTTACCAAACATTCACAGAAGAATGAACACTAATTTTACACACTGTCTTCCAGAAAATAGAAGAGAACAGAATTATTCTGATATCAAAACCAGACAGCAACAAAAGAAAAAGAAAGAATAGCATAGATCAATATTTCTCATGAGTGTCGACACAAAAATGTTAGCAAATCAAATTCAACAGTAAAAAGAAAAATGCACCTCAATCAAGGGGGACTTACTCAGGTATGCAAGGCTTGCTTAATATTTAAAAATCAAGCAATATGTTTTATTATATCAAGAATCTAAAAAATAAAAATAATGATATCAATAATGTGGTTAAAATATTTCACAAAATTCAACATCCATTTAAGATTTACCAAAGTTCAAAAACAAAAAATCCCAGAAACTCTCAGGAATAGATGCAAGTTCTTCAGCCTTATAAAGAGCATCTGAGAAAATCTACAGCTAACATCATTCTTAAGGATGAATACTTAAGGCTGAATGCTTTTCCTCTAAAATTGGGAAAAAAAGCAAGAATGTTACCTCTCATCACTCTTATTCAACATAGCACTCGAAGTTGTATTAATGTAATAAGGTAAGAAAAAGAATTAAAAGGCACACTGATTGGAGAAAAGGAAATGAAACTGTCTCTATTTTCAAATAACATGATTGTCTATGTAGAAAATTCTAAGAAATCTACAAAAGCACTCCTAGAACTAAGAGTTCAGTTAGATTGCAGAATACAGATCAGCTCACAAACATCAGTTGAATTCCTATATTCTACAATGAACAAATGGAAACCAAAATCAAAAGCACAATACCATTTACAATTGCTTCAAAGAAAATGAAATATGTAAGTGTCCATCTAATAAAGCAATGACCATTTGGCACCAGGGATCTGTTTCATGGAAGACAATTTTTCCATGGACTGGCAGAGGGTGGAGTGGAGAATGGTCTTGGAATGAAACTGTTCCACCTCAGATCATCGGGCATTAGTTAGATTCTCATAAGGAGCATGCAACCTAGATGCCTCGCAGGAGCAGTTCACAATAGAGTTTGTGTTCCTATGAGACTCTAATGCCACTGATCTGACACGAGGTGGAGCTCAGGTGGTAATGCCCGCTGGCCCACTCACCTCTTGCAGTGTGGCCCCGTTCCTAACAGTCCACAGATCAGTACCGGTTTGTGGCCCGGGGATTGGAGACCCCTGTAATAAACCATATACAGAATCTGTATAATGAAAGTTACAAAATGCTGATTTAAAAAAAAGAGACCTAAATACTTGAGGCGACACATTATGTTCACAGACTGAAAGGCTCAACATAGTAAACAGGTTAGTTCTTCCTAAATTTATCTGTAGGTTTAACACCATTCTTATCCAAAAATCATCAGCATTTTTTGTAGACATAGAAAAACTTATTCTATAATTTATATGGCAAGGTAAAGGCTTTAAGAATAGCCAAAACAATTTTGAAAGAGAACAATAAATCTCTCTCTATGATTTGAAGGCTTAATATGCAGCTACAGTAATCAAGAAAAGGTGGTACTGACAGAAGAATGGAAACAAATCAATGGAGCAGACTGGAGAAGCCAGAAATATATCTACATAAACATGCCTAATTGTTTTTGCCAAAAGAAGGAAAACAATCTAATAAAAAAGAAAAGATAGTCTTTGCAAAAACAAAAACAAAAAAAAACCTCTTAACCTCACACTTTATACAAAAATTAACTAAAACTGGATCATAGACTTAAATGTAAAATATAAAATTATAAAGCTTCTAGAAAAAAAATAGAAGAAAATCTTCAGACCTAGGACTAGGCAAACAGTTATCAGACTTCACACCAAAGGAATAATCCATAAAAAGAAATAATTATGAATTAGACTTCATCAAAATTTAACCCTTTGCTTTGTGAAAGTTCCTACTATACGGATGAAAAGACAAATTACAGACTGTAGAAAATATTTGCAAACCACACATCCTGCAAAGAACTTTTATCTAGAATATAAAGGTGTAGACACTAACTACTCATAGTGCAGACTCCACAAGTTAAAGAGCTTAGACTCACAGAACTGTCCTCACTTCAGTTACTAGTTATAAGTCCCAGGTCCCCAGGGTCCTTATAACTGATGTCCAACTTGGCTACAAATTCAAGGGTTTCTATAACCTTCCTTTTGATTTAATACTCTGCTGAAAGCAATTCATAAAACTCAAAAAACATTTACTCATGTTTACTGGTGATACAGTTTGGCTGTGTCCCCACCCAAGTCTCATTTTAAATTGTAGTTCCCGTAATTCCCATGTGTTGTGTCGTGGGAGGGACCCAGTGGCAGGTAATTAAATCACGGCGACAGTTACCCCCATGCTGATCTTATGATAGTGAGTGGGTTCTCTGGAGATCCGATGGTTTTACACGAGGCATTTCCTCCCCTTCACTCTGCACTTCTTGCTGCTACCATGTGAAGAAGTACATGTTTGCTTCCCCTTCTGTCATGATTGCAAATTTCCTGAGACCTCACCAGCCATGCTGAACTGTGAGTCAATTAAACCTCTTCCCTTTATAAATTACCCAGTCTCAAGTATGTCTTTATTAGCATCAAGCGAACAGACTAATACAACTGGTTTATTATAAAGGGTACAACTCAGGAACAGCCAAATGACACTGATGCATTAGGCAAGGCAGGGGGGAAAGAGGGGTGTGCAGAGCTTCCATGCTCTTTCTGAGTGTGCTACCCTCCCAGCACCTTGATGTGTTCACCAACCTGGAAGCTTTCTGAAACATATGCTTTAAGAGTTTTTAATAGAAGTTTTATTACACAGATATGATTGATTATATCATTGGTCATTGGTGATTGAACCCAATCTCCAGCCCTTCTCCCCTCCCCAGAGGTCAGGGAGAGGGACTAAAAGTTCCAACCCTCTAATCATGACTTGCTCTCTCTGTTTACAGCCCCTGTCCTGAAGCTATCCAGAGACCCTGGACATCAGTCATCTCACTAGCATATAAAATACTTGCCACTCAGGACAGTCCAAGTGTTTTAGGAGCTGTATGCCTGGAACCAAGGACAAAGATAAAATATATTTTTTATTAAACTACGATAAAGAATTACCAAAAGTCAAAATCTAAAAATCAAACAATCCAATTAGGGAATGGACAATAGACATGCCCCGACATTTTAACCAAAGAGGATATACAGATGGCAAATAAACAAAAAGATACTCAACACCTTAGCCATGAAAGAAAAGCAAGCTAAAATTGCAATAGTATATCACTATGACATAGGTAGGTATGTCATAGTAATATACTATTGCAAAAACTAAAATTAGTGATATCAAATGCTGGCAAGGATATGGAGAAAGTGATCACTCATATAACTGGTAGGAATGCAATATAGCATAACCACTCTAGAAAATAGGTTGGCAGTTTTTAAAAAACTTAAATACACTTACCTATGATCCACAAATTGCACTTTTGGCTATATATTTTAGGGAAATGAAAACTTATTTTCATACAGAAATTTGCATATGTTTAGAACAGCTTCATCTGTAATAGCTCAAAAGTGGAACTACCCAAATGTACTTCAATGGGCAAATGCTTGAACAAAAAGTGTAGTGCCATATCCATTCTATGGAATCCCATTCAGCAACAAAAAGGAATAAACTACTGATACACACAACTTTGATGAACCTTGAGGAAATTATGCTGAGTGGAGAAAGCCAATTACAAAAGAACACATAGTATATGAATTCATCCATATAATGTTTGTGAAATAACATAATTATAGAGATGGAGAACAGATTAGTGGTTGTCAGAGATTAGAGATGGAAGAGACATAACGGTGTGCTCTGAAGTTGTAACATGAAGTGATGATACCTTCAAGTATTTTGATGGTGGTGACAGTTACACAAAGCTAAACGTGCAATAAAATTACATAAAGCTATGCACACATGCAGTAACTGAAATCTGAGAAAGCTCTATGGATTATACTGATGTCAATTTTCTGGTTCCAGTATTATACCTGGTTTTGTAAGACATTAACAATGAGGGAAGGTTGGTGTAGGGTACACAGGACCTCCCTGCACATTTCTTGGT